GGGAAAGTGCTGATGATACCAGGTGATAGTAAATGCCTCAGCTGCTTGGAGTTGACATTCTCCAGAATAACACCAAAGGAAGAACATGCTTCTGTCATGGCTTCACAACCACGGAGAGCTGATATAAAGTCCTGGAGCTGCTGTTTCGCTGCATCCTCATATAGAACCACTTTACTCCCGTTTCTTCCATTAGCTTCACTGTTTCATTTAACAGAGAGTTTAACATATATGTTCAGTAGATCCTTATAACAATGTGAGAATCAAATCCTCTCCACATCCTGCCAGTCCCTTACCTGCTAGCAAAAACACGTGCAAGTAACCGTTCCATGTCTGGAAGCCTGGACAATGTCTTTCGAAAATCCAGCGAGTAGGAGAGGTTTTCTCCCTGAAAGAAGGTACAAAACCATAATACAGAGAAATTAGGACAATAATGGATACAAAAGCCTACAGAACAGACAAACTGAAAACACATAAACAACAACTCTTGGGTAGAACTTTAGCTGAAGGCATCCAGGAAAGCCATATTTCCACATCACACTGAAAAAAGAATGCAACAGAACTGCATCTTGAAGATCCACACACATTGAGTTGGTCATATTACTTGAAATCCAAGAAATAATCTCCAGCAAATAAATGGAAAACGGGTATAATGATTCCTTGTCTATTCAAAAAACAGAGAATAGCATCTCATTTTTTTTCCTGGTCTATATGAAGCCTAGACCCCCATTTATTCCATAAAAATTTAAATCATTAGACCAGCAAAATATGCTAGAACCATAAGAATCCTTACCCGCAGTTCTGCTACAGCATCTTGACGTTCTTTGATTAGTTCTGGGTTATATAAAGGTCTTGCCAGCCATGTTTTGAGTAACCGTTTGCCCGATGCAGTGACACATTGATTCAATTGCTCGTACAATGTTCTTCATGAGAAATAAAATTGCATTAGATTTAGAGCAGATCAATGAGGTTTAATAATATTTAGCTAGAAATCAGCTTACCCTGAAGAACCTCCATTTCTGTTGTTCTCGAAAATCTCAAGGTTTTCCAAGGCAGCAGCATCAAGGACCATGTGCTGTTTCCGAGAAATGTTGCTAAAATCATAGCAAGGCAGTGATTCAAATTTCGCAAATCTAAGCAGAGTCTCATCCAAGAAAGCCTGTCTCAGGTAGTAAATAGTACCACCAAGAGCTGAGAGAGCCAGGTTACTATCCTCCTCTGCATTTGCTAATTCAGACAACAAATTTGGCAGGAAACTTGAACTGCATTCTCCTGATATCTTTTCTTTGTCTAGCAATGCAGAGGATAATTGAAACTTGATTTTCTTATAGAACAGTCTCATCTCATGAAGAGTCTTCTCTGCACCCCAGAGTTCAGTATGTGGTACTAGATTATTCACCAAGGGATTTCTGGTGTGTCTCATAATTATCCTCTCCGTTTCCAAACTAAGCACGTTAGCTGGTTTGATAATTTCCACTGGCCTCATCTCAGAGAGTAGGCAAGCCAATGCACTGCACTCCGCATCATCCTTGAACTGGCAAGAATTGAAGCATGCGTAGTAAGATAGAATAACACAGGTGCAATGAATGCATCTTGTAAGAGTCCGACAGGGAAATGTTCATACTAAGTACCGACCTGACCCAACATAATTCTTTTTGTTGCAACATCAATCAAACATACTCCAAAGTTCCGCTCTGCGTTTCGTTTAGTTAAATTATCTCCTTCAGTCAGTGCCATTAAGTAAGATGCATCAGGATTAGTTAAAAACATCTCTCCTTCTGTCAGTGTGCCTTTTGTAACCACGGCACATACTTCACGTTTTACAACCTACAAAAACAGGAGATATGTCAACAGATGTTCCTAATCTTTCTAACATTTACTCCATTAGCTACATAAAACAACAGCATAACAATTTGGTCTTATGTTAAAGATTCACAGTAAGACATACTTTATCCTTGGAACCTTTCTCCTTACGGCGTTGCTCCAGCTGTTCAGGTGTCTCTGTTTGCTCTACCACTAGAACTCGATAACCCTGTTCCATAATTCCATTAAGTTTAATCAGGTCTGTTTCTCTAGTAAAGATACAAATTCTGTTCTTGGATTATACTTTAGGCATGGCATTACAAGAAAGAAATAAAGCTTAGACTAGAGCTGCTATGCAAGAGACAAAGACCTTTTTAGCCAACTTCTCCACATTCATAGAGAAATTCTTCTCTGGGAATCCGCAATGAGGTTGTTCGCCCTGCAAAACAAAACAGATATCAAGGTTGACCGCACGGGAAGCAGCATAGGATAGGAGGTACTGCATGAAGTAAAAGCGAGAACAGGGAAGTATTTGATTATCACGCCTTTCCTTTGATAGATGTATGTTCTTAGAGAGACTGAATGACTGACAAAAGCACCCACAATTTATGAGTCAGAACAAAGCCATTACCTTCATGTATTGCAAATCCAGTTCCTTAGCTCCTACATGCGCATCCATCTCAAAAAGCTCATAAAATTTACCCATCTGGTTGAAACAAAAGAAGACCGCTATCTAAATTCTCCATCAATTGAAAAGATTTCAAGGCATGCAACTATAGATCTACCTTGAAGAAGATAACTTTATCCATATGCTTTGACTTAAATTCCCACCATTGTCTCTGGAAAAGAGGGGCCACAAAATCAAAGATATGAATCTCTGTAAATAAATTAAATAATACAAATATAATTTCCATGAGCTATATACCTGGCCTCCAGTTAAACTTTTCACAAAATCAGGAGGAAGGTACAGCGTCCTCGGGTCATAATTCTCATCTGTAGGGAGCCTTCTATTTACATCTCTTCGCACTCTGTTCAACAAGAGCAATGAGCAACTTGTGTGCAAGACGTTTGTCAAAAACAGGGCTGAAAAACCTACTACTAAGTCATGAATTTGGGAAACAAAAAAGATATATTCTTCCTAGCATGGCAATTATTGCTTCAGACAACCCCTTTGTAAACCCAGATAAGCTATGTGTTTGTCTATTCATACCCTTGATTCTTTGTAATGCTAACAACCACAGAAACTGATATACGAGATGAAAGGTAAAATTCCAGACTTACGCTCCCAAGAACCGCAACTTCTCAGCTTCCCGTGCGCCAAATCTTTCAACAGCTTCGTTGGCCAAGGTGTTACTATCCAGAGACTTTACTACCTTATCAACTGCAGTGCACCACAATAAAAATTAGCATAAAAAACGCACAAATAAGCAAATAGAGTCTGTGAGAAGAATTTCCCAGGTTCACCTTCTGCGATTTTCTTTGCAGGATCCGAAATCGAAGTCTTAAAACCTTTAGGTGTGGTATCCTTAGTAATGCTACTTTTCTTAGCACAACCCTGTTCCGCGCCTCCGCTTGCCTTCCTTTTCCTAGATTCAGTTTTCCCTTCTCTCTTTCCTTTTGGAGCTTCTTCGGCTTTCTCTTCTACGAGCTCTTCCTCATCCATCTCTTTCTCGTCATCCAAATCAACATCTTCATCGCTCTCATGTACCTCCTTCGCCGCATTCGTTCCCCAGTCTTCATCACTAGAATCATCTCCACCACTTTTGTTTTCGTCCCCCTCGTCCACATTCTCCAAATCCTCATCATCCTCGACCACAACTTTTCTGATAGCAGAAGCGCCTCGTCGCAACCGCTTAAACCTCTGCCCTGCACTTTCCCCCATTACCCACTCGATCTTCTCCTCACCCAAATTCAAAGACTCCTCTTCTCCATCATCATACTCAACCCAATGCTTCCCGGATTCCTTATCGTACGAAACTACGCACCCATCGTACAATCTCTTATCCAACGGCCAGTAAACCCTAACTTTCTTTCCCACCACCTCGTGACCGTACGAATTGGCCACCGATTTCGATGGTGAGGGAGTGTTTCCGATGATGAGGGGGGATTTCCTAAGCTTAAACTGTACAGGGGACGGAGTTGCGAGGATAGGGGTGGGACTACGAGAAGGGGGATCAGGTCTAGGGTTAGGGTTTGGCTTGGGGGTTTTCTGATTGGAGAGAGAAGGGGGTGAAGGAGACGCGGCTGCTTTCCCGAAGAAAGTGGTGATTTGGCTCTGTTGGTTCACCAAGGGAGACCTTCCGTTGCTCTGCCGGCGAGACGGTGCCATTGGAGAGCCTCGCCGTGCTTTAAACTTCCACGCGAGCGGAACAAAATGAGAGAGAGAGAGAGAGAGATGGATCGATGCTGAGAAGTGAAGAGACGAGGAAGAGGGAGTGGATGAAAATGGAGGGGCCAGATAGGCGGGAAATTTCACCGGGAAATTCGCCGCGGAACTGACGTCTTGGCGGGAAATAACTCCGATGGATACAATGTGTTTGGTCGCGGAGAGACTCTGCACGAACAAGAGGCTTCTCTCTCTCGGGTCATATTGGGCTAAAAGTTAGGCCCATTTAAGTTTTTCTAAAGAAATGGGTCTATTGATGGGATAAAAGTGTAGGCCCATCTAATTGTATTCTTAACGTATTTTGCTTTCGAGATGGAACCTGCGAAGGCCCATTATAACAACGCCTGGCTAATATTTCATAATCAATAACAAGAGTGAAGATCAGGTTTTTTACATTTTTTTTAATCTTAATTATCCACGGGCATTGGATTTAACAAGATGTGAGAGATCATAAGTTAATAAAAAAAATCAGATGAAACGGATGTCAAAGGTGTGAGGACCAATCTGCCAGACATTCAAAGCAGTGTAAAAACGAGCCGAAATTTTGACTCGGTCTGAATAATTTTTAGACAACAGAAAACATTTGCAAAGATGCTGGACCAAAAAATAAACGAAACTTTTGAATCATTGTGGGCCCACGAGATATATATGGGCCTACCGGACATAAAGACAATTAACTGTTCAGACAATAATAGTGTGTTTTTTTCTTGGGTTAAACAATAGTGATTGTTGAGTGAGGAAGAGAAAACAACAACAAAAAACTAGGAATTTAGTTAAAAAATCAAGTAATTCCGACATATATATATATATATATATGTATATGTATAACATAAAAGGCGATTCTAACAGCATTGCGATCGTAAACTTGAATAGGAAGTTTTGTCGGATTCTATAACGCCATCTTCTGCAGTCTTCCGATTGTGCCGTTAGCTTTAGATGAGCTGGTTCTGAACTTGGGGTGAGGAGCTCTCATTCTGATCTTCATTAGATACTCGGCATGTTAAACCTTTGATGATGTAACGGCGCGAACGCATATGTGAACGGTTCACCATAGCCCTGAACCGTTCCATCCCGGTTAGGCTGAAGTTGTAGAACGGCGATTTTGGAGAGTTACGGTGGATTAACTCAGTGGTAAAAACGCGTGTTGGGTTTCCTTCATGGGAAACGATAAGTAGGCACGCCGAGACTAGTGAGAGCTGAAGAAACAACGAGGGGTAAGAGATCTTACTCATGGTGATTTCGGGAAAAAAAGTTTTTTTTTCTGTATGAAGATTTCGGAATAACCTGCATATATATATACAACAAATACCAAACCCAAACCTAGTAAGAATATCTCTAACAACTTGATACACAATATATATACGAGGATATATATATTCTCCGCTACATACGGGTGGATGTCTTTCCTTTTATGCAACAGCACAATATTTTTATAAGATCATAATTTTATTTGATTTTATGTATCTATTTGAGATATTTCCATTTATTAAATAAGATATCGGAGATTACTTAGTCTAAAAATATTGGACGATTATTAGAACAATATTGGAGATTTCTTATTAATCAATGTATACCATTTTTACATATAAAAAACACAACCTTAAAATACCAAATTTAAATTAACAAAATATCTAAAATACAATACAAAATCAAAATATAGATATTATCATAATATTCGAAAATATTGGAGATTTCTTATAATTAATGTACACCATTAATATATATATATATATATATATGCATATAATTATATATATATAAATGAATTCCCATCCAATTAAATACCCATATGATTTGTCATCTCTAATTTATTTCATCCTTCAAAACATTTTATTCCAAATTAGCGTATGTGTTTCAGGAATTATTTAAATTTTACATTATAATAGAAACAATATATATATATATATATATATATATAATGGTGATGTGATTTAATGCTCATGTCTAAAACCTAAAATTAACACATTGATGAATATTTAATGACTTTATAAGACTAATTGTAACATAGCAACAATAATACTTGTATTATTAAACAATTGTAACGCTTAGCCAAACTTCTTCATCTCTTTGTAGACGAAACTTTTGATATGGCCTTTCTAAGACTGATTGTAACGCTAACATTTATGGATAATTATATTAAGGTTTAAATGCCATACATTAAAAATTAATAATATAATTAGATGCTAAACTTTTTAGAATGGTTATAAGATATATATGTATATATATATATATAATTAGATGCTACCCACTCGATCTTCTCCTCACCCAAATTCAAAGACTCCTCTTCTCCATCATCATACTCAACCGAATGCTTCCCGGATTCCTTATCGTACGAAACTACGCACCCATCGTACCATCTCTTATCCAACGGCCAGTAAACCTTGACTCTCTTTCCCACCGCCTCGTCACCGTACGAATTGGCCACCGATTGCGATGGCGAGTGAGTGTTTCCGATGATGAGGGGAGATTTCCTAAGCTTAGACTGTACAGGGGATGGAGTTGCGAGGCTAGGGCTGGGACTACGAGAAGGGGGATCAGAGCTAGGGTTATTAATTAATTGTTTACTTTTGTATTAAATTATTTATTTATTAGTTTTGTTATTTATTTATTTCAAATATATACAAAACAATAAAATATATATTAGATAGATATTTAGAAACAATTATAATTTTTTTATTTTAGTAATTTAAATAATTATGAAGACATTATCGCTTAACCAATTACCAAATGCTCACAATTTTTGTATTTTCCATCTTTTTACATTTTATTTTCCATATTTATACATTAATCCCTCAATTTTATTTCCTTGAGACTCCGGTCCCCAAACTTTGTATTTGTGCGATTTCAGTACAATAATGGTAACTATGCAAAATATGATACAAAACTTCTATGTAAAAGATTTATTAAATCCTTGGAAGTTTGTATTCTGTTACCAACAAACAAGTTGTACTGTTGTACACACAAACACTATTATTAATTATATGAAATAATAAAATGATTATATAAAAAATACAATTATTATATCAATTTTGCATTGCCTAGAAACGATCATATGAGGATAGAGATAGAAACTCCTCCCCTAGAAATTACAGAAAGTGTGCAAGGCAATCAACACCTATTTTCAATCCCAAAACTTCATCCACCTTCAGAGGCATTAAGTGTAGGGCGAAACTCTCTCGATGACGTATTGTGGAAAGTATGACGCTTGGCGGTACGCATAAAAGTTCGAGGATAAATCATACTCGTTAGAAAACATTGCGACTGAGTCGTTCAGAATCGGTACATCCAGTTTAATTCCTTCGATTATATTTGGTTGCGGCTACGAGAACAGTCTGCTTTACGAAACAACTTAAGGGGTCGTCACTCTCGACTTGGGCGATAGTTCTCTCGTCACTCAGCTCGGCGCCATCACCAATGGCGTTTTCAGTTACTGCTTTGCGTTGTTCTACTTGGATAGACCGAACATTATCACTTTCAGGGATCCTCTAAAAACGAAGCAACTCGGGGTCACAACTCCCTTCACCGAGAAAATCGGTTTTGTAAATATACAAAAATAATATATATATGTATATATCTCTATATATTTATATATTATAACCCGTGTATCATAATTTTGAACTAGTGGACGCCACATCAGTTTCGCTTAACCAGTTAATAGGCGCACACCGCTTTTGTATTTTCCTTCTTCTCACATTTTATTTTCCATATTTATACATTAATCCCTCAATTTTATATATTTGAAACTATGGTTCTCTACTTTGTATTTGTGCGATTTCAGTACAATAATGGTAACTATGCAAAATATGATACAAAACTTCTATGTAAAAGATTTATTAAATCCTTGGAAGTTTGTATTCTGTTACCAACAAACAAGTTGTATTGTTGTACACACAAACACTATTATTAATTATATGAAATAATAAAATGATTATATAAAAAATACAATTATTATATCAATTTTGCATTGCCTAGAAACGATCATATGAGGATAGAGATAGAAACTCCTCCCCTAGAAATTACAGAAAGTGTGCAAGGCAATCAACACCTATTTTCAATCCCAAAACTTCATCCACCTTCAGAGGCATTAAGTGTAGGGCGAAACTCTCTCGATGACGTATTGTGGAAAGTATGACGCTTGGCGGTACGCATAAAAGTTCGAGGATAAATCATACTCGTTAGAAAACATTGCGACTGAGTCGTTCAGAATCGGTACATCCAGTTTAATTCCTTCGATTATATTTGGTTGCGGCTACGAGAACAGTCTGCTTTACGAAACAACTTAAGGGGTCGTCACTCTCGACTTGGGCGATAGTTCTCTCGTCACTCAGCTCGGCGCCATCACCAATGGCGTTTTCAGTTACTGCTTTGCGTTGTTCTACTTGGATAGACCGAACATTATCACTTTCAGGGATCCTCTAAAAACGAAGCAACTCGGGGTCACAACTCCCTTCACCGAGAAAATCGGTTTTGTAAATATACAAAAATAATATATATATGTATATATCTCTATATATTTATATATTATAACCCGTGTATCATAATTTTGAACTAGTGGACGCCACATCAGTTTCGCTTAACCAGTTAATAGGCGCACACCGCTTTTGTATTTTCCATCTTCTCACATTTTATTTTCCATATTTATACATTGATCCCTCAATTTTATATCCTTGAGACTATGGTTCTCTACTTTGTATTTGTGCGATTTCAGTACAATAATGGTAACTATGCAAAATATGATACCAAACTTCTATGTAAAAGATTTATTAAATCATTGAAAGTTTGTATTCTGTTAGCAACAAACAAATAGTACTGTTGTACACACAAAAATTATTATTAATTATATGAAATAATAAAATAGGTATATAAACAATATAATTATCATATCAATTTTGCACGGCCTAAATATGTAGTAATTATGATGATATTGAAAATTGTAAAATATACTAATCGATTCAATAAACAGATGTACTTTGTAAATGTACTTTGTAAAGATTTTTATGAGTTTTAGTGATGATAAGATGAATAAGAGCAAAAAGAAGTGAAGAAAAAGTAGTTCGCGGTACAAAGGAAAGGGAATGAGAGGTGAGTCTATTCCAATTAGATCACTTATGTGTTGTTATTTACTATATTATTTTGTACAGATTTTATAACCAAAAGACTAAGAACATATGAGAAAAAGGAAAAAAAAACGGCTATAAGATCTATAAACAAGGTAACTTTCTAGTAAACATCATCGAATCGAAGGACCAAATAAGGTAAATTCTTCTATACGATTGCATCCTTGTTTCCAACATGAATCTCGACAAAATATTACTCCAAACGGACCATTATTTATCTCCTTTTCTTGCCTCAAACCTTCCCATGTCATCCAAGAATGGGAGGAAACAATTCTGATTTATGTTGCACGTAAGCATTGCTATTCACATGCACGTAAGACTATGTCCTTTGTATTCCTTTAGACTTTAACACTTTGCCCCTATCATAATATGATCTTTTGCTATCATCCGAACAAAAATTCTCTGCAGAGGAAACAGATTGGCGGAAATTCCATCGGGAATTTTGCCGCGGAACTGACGACTTGGCGGGAAAGAACTCTGATGGACATTTATATAATGTCTACGGCTCGCAAGAAATTCCTTGGCAACAACTGTAGAAAGAAGAGGAAAATAACATAAAATATAAGAGATCGAACCAAAAAAAGGTTTGGGAGCCTTTGTTAAAGATTGTGGTGGAGAGATGAAATTTGAGTAGGGCCGTTAAAATTATATTATGGGTTTAATTAACTGAGCCCTAAACAGTATTACCACATCCATTAGTTGGGCCATCAGTCGAGCAGTAGCGATCAACTAATTGGGCCAAGATGGCAGAACGGACCGCCCCAATCCAGCTCATAAAATATTGGGTCCATTATCTAATATGCTGTGAAAAGTCAGAAATACCCCTATGAAACTTGCAAAAATTAGGAGTGTGGCTGCTGGGTTTCGAGCCCAGGTCTCCACGGCCACAACGTGGAGTTCTAACCACTAAACTACAACCATTTCCATGTCGGTTTCATTAAATAAGTAAATGTTCGTGAAAATTACAAATACCATATATCTTCGTAAAGCACACGTAGTCTCGAAAGTGAAAAAGCGTTTTGTTTTCCACCTCTCTCACTTCTTTCCCACACCAATGCATACACTCACGATAACAACACCTTAATACACTTGTAAGCATAAGAATATATGACACCAACCGAAAAGACTAGACACTGTTTTTTACTTGCAACTCTTACAACAACAGTTGTGTTTCTTTTTTTTACTGCCAGTATCAATCGGCTTATTTCTTCCCTATACAAACTCCCTCGTCTCCAAAATATAACACAAGTTAATGAGGGGACGAGAAACCCACAAAAACCCCAAAGCCAAACAGATTAAAAACAAAAAAGTTACTATAGTCTCGTTATACCTGTAATTATTTTATTTATTTATATTCCTCATCAATGAGATTGGTGCTTCCTGGCTCTGCGGTGGTTGATGGATGAATCATCTTTCTTGGAACCCTCGGGTTTGCGAGCCCAAGCAGGAGCTTGGTCGGGTCCATACCGGTAATCATAGAACAGCTCTTCGCTTGCTTCGATACGCTCGTTCGCAAATATCCCTACCCTATGGTCTCCTGCTACAAACATCACCTGCCGTACCACAACCATTTATGGTTAGTTACCTTTTAGGCATGAACTTTGGTATAACATTTCAGAATTTTCACATAAACCGGTGAATTTATATGACTTAATATAAAATTCCAAAAGCGTTCGCCGTGGGTATTTGGCTTAATTGGTATGACAATAGCTTCCTTTTCAAAACAGGTAAAATTATGTTTTTTGGGCTTTCTACAAACCATAGTTAAGTGAAAACTTTCAGGGAGCAAAAGGCATGACCGACACAGCCTACATTTCTGTGATTTGTTTCTAAGGCGTGATATCAAAATGCAGATTTGATGCAAGTTGTTATCTACTGTAACTCATATGAAAGACTAGCCCACATACCTTAGCATAACAGTTGGGCTTTGATGAGTGGTTAGCAAATTTCAGCTTGTCTCCTTTACGGTGAGCATCAAGGACATACTGCAAATATAAGAAGAGATTACTTGTGAGAAAGAAAACCCGAGAAAAGATAGACACGAGTCCATGAGACACTGGAAGGGAGATTAGACTAGTCACCTGATCATTCAAGTCAAACAGGAATGAAGAGTTTGCCCGATCATATATTTTGCCACGCTTGTCTGCCTCACGGTGAGAGATCAGTTCACCGGTGTATTCCCCAAGATATTCGTTCTTGTTGACAGAGTTCTGATATTCGCATAGAACAGAGGTCAGGACAGGAACAGAACAGAAGAAATCTTTGTAAAGAAGAAGAGATTCATTCACATGCTCACCTTCAGAAAAGCACCCCATCCAGCAACATCAGACTTCGCCAAGAGGATCTGAGAAAAAAAAGAGTATTAATGATAAAAAATGTTTGACCAGAGGGAGCAATTTGATGATGACGTACCCTTTGTTGCTGCCTCAGGAGAAGTCTCATATTTCCGCATTGGCCTTCTCCTCGTTTAGGTGGCTCGCCAAGAGAACCATCTCCACAACTGAATAAAGAAACAAGTATTCAAAGTTATGATTGATATCGATATACGGAGATTGACTTTAATGCAAAAAAAAAAAGAGGTTATTTTAAACTAGAGAGATAGAAGCGATTACCTAACCCAGCAGTTCCGGCAAACATCTGGATCACATTCTCGACCAGCAGCAAAGCAGGGACACTGTCGGCTTCTGCATTGGCTTTTTGCACAATGGCATCCTCTGAAACGATTTTTGCAACTCTTCGAGCACCTGAACAAACAAAGTCGCAGGATAAAGAACACGAGTTGATTGACTTGCGATCAACTTGTTTGAAGATGGCCAGGTGAGGCAAACAATATGATGATGTAAACAAGAAAGTTCATCTGGAACTGAATACAAGCGAATAACTTGGTCAAAGTGAAAAAAGTTGAGACATCGAATCGATTTTCTGTAGCGTCTGAAATTATTCTACTGCTCAATGGGTTGCAAGGTTATTCCCAAAGAACATGAATATACAAGCATGTGTTACTTTGCTATGAAACGTTTATGCCTTTGCAGCAATAAGATGTTTTTCTAACAGATGCTGTCCTTCAAGTAAACTCCGTGGTGCCAATCATCGCAAACAAGCAATCACATACCCGCAGTATTTCTCGCAGCAGGTGCCATTAGTTAGACAAGGGCATTCCTTTCCACACATTGACTGGCAGCTGCATGGTGTGTATTGCTTACAGGACCGGTTTTTGCCACCGGCTATTCTTTTCCAGACAGATGGATGACCAGCAGACTTTGTAGAGTATTTCAGCTTCCGAGCTCTGCCCCTTCTGCGGAATAACTTTGTTCTTGATGGCATGTTTTGCTCCTGTCAGGCAGAGTAATAGCAGGACACGAATGTAACAAAGATATTTTCAGCGATACGGAATGGACCATAATCTAGCATGGAGATCTTAATTAAGATACAGGAAATAGCTAATTTTCTACCAAACATAATAAAATAATGGAAGATAATAACCATTTGTTTAAGACAACCAACTGGCAACTATCCTTTTCCCTGCCAAATGTCAAAAGGCAACAGGGAAAAAGAACTTAAGGAAAAGCCAATTAAATAAACTTGGGCTTTCCAGAAATTCTTTCTTGTCTAATAGATCTTTGGCCCTGAAATCAAGAAAACTAACTTTCTCTGCAGTAATCCCATAAGGAGTAGAAAATTAAGATTTGAAAATAAAAAGGAAACCAGGAAGAATACATTGAATACCTCATTGTTCGGGTCATCCATGCCATCTTCCAACAACAAATTTGGGGTGCTAGACCTGCGAAGGGCTGAAGCTCCATTTTCACGCATGTAAGAAGACACCTCTAGGCATGTTTTCAAGCCAGAAAGTAGATTTCTCGCAATAAGGCAGCTGGAACAGCAGGAAGAAAAACATGAGTCATAAATACACGTTCATGCATTAAAAATACTTTAACATGAACAATGAAATGAACCAAGATCCAGTTTACCTATTTCTTCCAAATATCTCAACTCCCTTCAAGTAAAGTTCCTTCTCAATAGGTGTCCACTCAGCGGAGGATTGGCTTATCTTGAGCATATCAGTAGTGCCTTTTGTTCCACTTCCACTACCAAGTTCTGGCTGGCAATCTGAGGAACCATCATGACGAGTAGAATTGACTGTATTGCCATCAAGTTGTTCCTTAGAGCAAGCTCTTGAGTCCCTATTTACTTCATTAGCACCGAATGTTTCACCTTCTTGATCATGCTCTTTTCCAGCCAGTGCATGATCCAAGCTAGGGATAGGATTGACAAATAGTGCATCTGTATCTTTGGCCACACTCTTTTGTTTCTTATTCAAAGAATCCAGCAGATCAATGGAGGCTTCTGAGTCAGAGACCTTGCGCTTTCCCAAGTTATCATGGTCCTGTACTACTGCATTGGAGGATAAATCCAATTTTTTGGGAGCAGCATCAATATTTTCAACATACAAATTGATACCACCAGAAGCATCATGCAACTCATCCGAGGAGACAGGCTTCCTGCCTTCATCTTCAGAAGCTCGTTCTTCCATTCTAGTTGCAATGATATTGCTTGTCTCTGGAACTTCTCTGACAGTCCTTACCTAAAACCATTAACATAAGAATGACGGTTACTCAACCCCACCTAAGAGACTGCCATACATTTACAAGACTAGGCATGCATACAGCTATGATAAATATAATTTACTTCCACAACTATGATTATTCTTCCCACAAACACAAGAAACTGTGTTTCTGTGTGCACGCCAGAGAGAGAGAGACCTGGAGGTAACACTGTTCACCACAGGGGTTCCTATCACCTTCAAATTCAGACCAATATGGCTGTTTTTCACTCTGCAGACCAAAGTCCTTTGGTTAAGTTACATACCGAAAGTTAAGACAGGCCACCAAAGAAAAGGAAAGATTGACTCAAGCTTACAGCATTAATCAAAGTCTGAGAACACCCATGTAGACGACAGTCGAAAACCTGTTAGGTTAACAGAAAAAAATAACAAACAAACATGATTAGGAGACAACTATAGTACACCAATTTCTCAACAACAAAATAAAGTTCTACGTGCCAAGCATCGGCGGCAGAAAAGGTTATCAAAGGAATCTAGAGCAGCACTAAGGCCCTTTTCCAGAGAAATTCCAAGTTTAGATCCAGAATCAGAACACTCCTCCACATTCTGTTCATTCTTCAGCTTGAGATCATTGTATCTTTCCTGCAACAGATCGGAAAGAAAAACACACCTCTAATGAGCAGAAATAAAGGAAGAAGAGAACACGAGAATTATCAGGGTTAAACCGCAAGCACAGAGTGAAAAAAATTGCTAGACCAGAATGTCTTCAACATTTAGTCCGAGGAACTGGCAGAGAGCATCCTGCACCTCGTCACCCAAACCATATTCCTGCCCAATCGACCTGCCAATTCAACCCACAGCAGAAAATTCGGGCCAATTCACTAACATCGTTTATATTTTGACAAAATCGTCACATCCTCTTAACAGTCAAGGCTTAACAAAAAAATAAAATGAATATGAGTTAAGACATGCATGCTTTCTTAGCCACGGCAGCACCAAGACCGCTATTTAACAACACTGCAACAGATACTGTTTTGTTAATAAGAATTCCGCCTAAAAAGTAAAAACTTCGTTTCTTTTTCAGATGGTAAACAAGTATATCAGCATCATAGTCTTCCCTGTAAAAAAGTGTAGAAGATCAGCAATCCACTGCACTGAAACTTACCATATAACACGGTCCTGACCCTCGGCAAACTCATGTTTTTCCTCATCGGGTTCTGCATCTTCCTCACTATCGCTGCATATGAGTGTCTCGCCACCATGTTGATCATAGTAAATTTGTCTCCTCCCAAGCACGGACTGATCTTCAGCCATCCTCTGATTTCTGTGCGATTAAGAGATATTTTCAGGCTACAATAGTCAGACATTCTGACAGAAGATGCAATACACTATGCGATCTATGGTTCAAATGGTCTTTGCACCACAGGCCCCAAGCCCAGAATAAGATCTAAAAGAAAATTGCAAAAATTAAGCTGTAAGATAGAAGATCAGATCGACACCAACATCGCCTTGATTCCAAGTATAGAAGATCAGATATTCAAAAGAAAAGAAATGACGGGCTCAAGCTAAGATCCAGAACGATAAATACAGTGACAGGAGATTTACAAAGAAGCAAGGAGATATATAGGTAAACGTTTGAATCCAGCCCTGATCTACCCTCGACCTCATCGAAACAGCAAGGAAAAAGGCACTACGATCACAATAATTCTTTTATTTTTTTCTATTATGAAAAGAATTTCACGAGATCGAAATCGTGTATCAATTGGAACACATTTACTCTGGCAAGGGAACACATTAGTACTTTCCTTTTTTTCCTGCATTTACACACTTGCAAATCCCATCTCCTCATAACTACAGTCTTCCAGAAAGGAAAGAAAAAGAAATATTCCATGTTCTGCAGCTTGGCCTTCAATGGAGAAAAGTGTCTAGTTTTACCCTTAAAACAATATATCACATGAACGGAACTTATTTCATATATAATTCAACTACCATAAGGAGTTCATTATGCAACGGTATGGTCGGACAAATAAACTTCCACTCAGAAATCATGTGTAGTTATATGCAAGAACGAAAAAAAAAAAAGAAACGAGCACCTGTCCAAAAATATCCAGGTGGTGTACGGCGGGATGTTCTCAACATATGGAAGCTTAATACTTGCTGATAAAACATCCTTACTCGGAGCATAGTCTCTATCTCCCACCCCATATGGAAATCCATCTAATAAGCATTGCGGTCTTTCCATTCTCGAAAATAACATACTGTTGTCTCCATTATCCCCTGGAAATAATCCAGCCCGGTTCGATGCTGCTGTTAAAAGGTGAGAAACGTGAGCGCCCACTTTCTTTCTGTTATTCTCAACTTTTCCCTGCATGTTGAGGAAGATCGTTGAAGAATGAAGTTGCAGAGTTGAAAAAACAATAGAGAAAATATGTAGAAACAACTAAAATCCCACTTTAATAGAGAGCACTCTTTCTCCTTGAATTTGCTGTTTGAGTTGGTTCAATTTGCGCGGCAAGTCTTCAATGCTATCAACGGCATCATCTTCATGAGGTTTCTGCTAAAAAATACACATTAAAAGTTAATAGAAAACTTCCAAATTACTAAAATCGTGAAACCCTAACGCGAAACGAATATCCTTCCATCGTTTGATCGAAACTAGCCGTTATTCGACACGTTTATGTGTGTCTACAAACTGAGACAAGATTCAAACAACTCAAAAGAGAAATGCATCAAACAGACGAAGAAAGGGCACTGTCAAAATAGTGATCAAGAAAGAAAATCAAACGGTCCTTGATTGGGAAACACAACAAAAATCCATCAAAAGAACAATCCATCCGGACATTCCAACTAATCAAACCTCAAGCAACAAAAAATGGGCAAAGAATTATCGAACTAAGCATGCCCCTGAAAATTCAGGCCCTAACAAAGGAACAGGCACTGATCGTAGATGATGAATTGCATCATAAAAGCTGAGAGAAAGTACCAGGAAGACGAAACAATCGATCAACTCCAAAAGGATTACAAAACTATCAGACGAACATCGAATTCAGTTGATTAACAATCTAGACAATAACGAAACGATGAACCAAAAGACTGCAAGAAACAGTAAAGAATCCGAGAGTATACGTATCAGGACACAAAATTCAGAAAACAAAACTGTGGAAGCGAGGAGATTATCCACGGTGACACGAGATCACTATACCAACAATCAAGACAAAGAATACAAAAACGATCACAAGAACAAAACAATCGATCAAAAAGGGTGAAACAAGCGAGGAGATTGAGAGATATAATCTGACTCTAAGACTCGGGGAAGAGTCGCTGCTATTCGTCACCATGACCTTCTTCCGCTCCCCCTTCCTGCCGTCTCTCACTCTGTTTGTAGCGACTAAAACACGGAGTGTGGAAGGGGAGGCAGGGGACATCGCACGTGTGACCGAGCCAGTAACACGTGTGTTCCGTACCATGTCTATTGTTGGCCCCCACAAATTTTCTCGGCCTATTTTTCGTATTTATCCATTTTATGTATTTCACTAAACGAGGGAGAATCTGGACAAAGCGAAGCCACTAATGGGTCTACTTTTTCTAAAGCCCAAACCCATTTTAGAAAGCCCAATAAATAAATATTTTGAAGCCACTAATGGGCTTAAATGGGCCGAATCTGTTAGGAAGCCCAACAGTTTTTTAAAAAAAAAACTCAGACACTGTCCTCCTCCATGGATTCATAATTCTTTCTGGTTCTTTTACTGGCTAACACTCCATCCCTAACCCACGAAAACAATCCCAAAATCTTAACGATCCCAATCACAAAACAGAGGCAATAAATCCACCAATTCAGGAAATTGAAAACTTCCAGGTCGATCAGAAGCTTATCCTTGAGCTCCGCCTGACCTTCCGCTTCATCCCGAAGCTTCCACCGCCACAACGCCTTTCTCCGACCACTTGTGTCGTCGACCAATCTGAACCACATCAGCGTTACCTCGTGAAGACCCAAGAAAAACATGACCCTGATCGAAAGATTCGAAACCCACCTTTCTTGCGACACAAAAAACGATCCGGTGTCGGAATTCACCGACATGGTTACTCTGAGTCCGAGGTCAATGCAAGCCTGGACCGCGAAAAGGACGATCCAACAGATATAGAGACGGGGACGAAGAACAGAGTAATATGTTCTGCGGGAGAGAGCGTAGATCAAAGTGGCTACAGTGATAGATGCCATGGCTGTGTATAGAAGGACCGCGTTGATGTGGTGGAGAATGTACTCGATGAGGAAGAGATTACGTGAAAAGCCAGTGGCGATGGGAGCGGAGATGGTATTTGGAGAGAGAGAGGCGCGATGAGGGTGAGAAAGCTTATGGAAATGGCCGAACCATAAGCTTCTCTTCTCCCATCTTCCTTAGATTACAAGGAACAGAGCATACATCGCATAAGAAACTAAGGTGTGTTTGGAGATTGGGAGCCACGTCCATCTTTTCTACCATAATCGCAATTGCAAAAGTTTCGTGGAATATATTTTCAAACACAAACGAACATGTATCTGTCTGTCCATTTTTTTTAATGCTAGTGTTATTAAAGATTTGAGGTTGCGGTTGCAAACAAGACCACGACAATGAAATATTATTACTCGAGAAACCAAAGTTGCTATAAAACAACAGTACAAAGAAACTTCCATTGAGTGCTTAATCTTAATGTACGTCTCGGCTATTTTGACCCGAAACAACCATCTTTCTATCTGAAATTTTTGTAGAGAGAGAGCTTTTACGGAGAAAAAACCACAAAGCCCTTTTAGGGTGAGTCATTACCGTCGGCTGCTGAAGTTGAAAGAGGCTGAAGAGCTTTAAGAGGGTTCATGATAACACCGTCGATGAGTCCATACTCTTTTGCTTCTTTGGGGCTCATGAAGAAGTCGCGGTCAGTGTCCTGGTTTATCCTGTCGAGGCTTTGTCCCGTGTGGTAGGCAAGGTACCCGTTCAGGTTCGCCTTGTGGTGCAGCATTTCGTTTGCCTGAATGAACGAACAAGACTTTGCTCTCTTAGGATGTTTAACTACATTGAATAATGATATAAGGGCAAAGGGATGTAAAGATATGAGGATGACCTGAATGTCGATATCGGTTTGACCACCTTGAGCTCCACCCAGAGGCTGATGGATCATTATCCTTGAGTTGGGGAGACTGTATCTTTTTCCTGCATATACAAACAGAAGCCAACATCAAATCAGAAAACCATTAGGCATATAACAAGAAGGAAGCTTCCAAAGACAGAGATGGAAGAGGGCTACTCAGACTACCTTTAGTTCCAGCGCTGAGCAGGAAAGCTCCCATACTGTGCAGAAAAAACCAAAAGGGGAGGGGAAAAAAATCAAGGGCACCCTTGTTATAATCGGGAGATACACACATTCAACTACAAAAGTGTTTTATTATCTAGTCGTGCTCTATGTTCACTTGGAGAGAGCATATTGTTCAAGAATAACATGCATCCAACAAAAATATCAACCCGAGGAGACGGTGACCGTGAACCATTGTCAAGAAGTTTCAATCGTACAAGAAGTGATCAAGTTTTGAGAAAGCTTAAAGAATCTCAAAAACCAACCTAAAACATCAGTAAAATGGCAATGAAAAGTTACCTAGCAGCGAGGCCAACACAAACGGTGGAAACATCAGGCCGGATATGCCTCATAGTGTCAAATATAGCCATACCTAACAAAAAGCAGGTTATCACGGGAGTCCGTAAGATTAAAAAAAAATCGAGTAAAGACAAATATATGGCCGAAACGTTAAATTTGCGAGGAAACAATAAAGCAGATGAGGTGATTATTACCTGCTGTAACTGATCCACCAGGAGAGTTTACATACATGACGATATCCTGTTCAACATTGCACTATCAGAATCCTCCAACCAAAGAATCTTTTGGCCAAGACAGAGATCCTAGGTGCAGCATCTGAACTGATAAACAAGACACAACATGCATGTACACGTACAAGATCTTGTATATACTTGTATAATATCTGACCTTCTTGGGATCAACAGCATCAAGATATAAAAGCTGAGCTACAATTATGTTCGCCATATCATCATCCACAGAGCCACCGCACCGTATAATTCTCTGACAAAAAAATGATAAACGATCAAACACTACTTGTCAACGGAAACAACACCAAGCTCCAAGCTTTCAAGCAGAGAACTTTAACAATACATATTGGAAGAGCTGACTAATGATACTCTGGAACCGCTC